TGTGTCGGTTCCAGATATCTCTCCTGTTCTTCCTTGAAGTGCTTGCCCATATAAATATTTACCAAAATAAACTCAGTAAAATAATGTGGACAACTGGTGTTAAGTCAAAATGAAACCTTTACTACCTTTTTTAAAAGATCACTGGCGCAAATATGGGAAGGAGAATAGAAAGGCCAAGTAATGTCTTGGCTTAAACAAGACACTATGTTAGACTGAAGACACGGAAAACTGCAAAGTAGTGAGCAAAAGTAGACAACACTGTCAACAAAGCAGTTAGCATGTTGCTTTTTTAATCCCCAAAATAATACGCACCTTATAAAAGAAGTGAAAACACGTTGTTAGATTGCACCTTGAATGATCACTGATTTACTTTATTTTATTACCACTCTTGTTGATTATAAGAGATATAAAAAAATATATTGAAAGGCAGACTAGGCTGACCAGTGGGGGAGTTGGTGTTTCAAAATCAACATTTTTTTTAACTTGTGTCCTTTCAGCATCTTGGTACAGCCGAAACATGGGTGATAACCTTCTCGTTAGCAACCAGCTCTCATAAGTGACCACCCCCTCATAAAACCAAAATATTCTCAGTCAAAGGTTTATAGTAGGAACCTCTTGTAAGAGACTGTAATCACTTTTGGGGGGGGACAGTTTCCATTTTTCATTGTTTTTAACTTTTTGGAAGCAACACTTGACCTACATCCTCGGAGACCCAGGGGCAGTCAGTTGGGTGGGGAAAAAAGGCAGAAAACGTTTTCAGCTGACTGACTGTCCCTGGGTCCATGAGGAAGATAGCCTGTGCCAGGCTCTCAGATAGTATAGTGGGGACGTATTAAACAAGCAAAGCGAAAATAACATGAGCGTGACTTGGCAAAGGGGGCGGTGGCGGCGGGAAAAATGGGAGAGAGAGCCTGTTAGCATTTTTTTAACGACCCTCTGCCGCCCCATCACTCCCCATCCCCCACGCGTTTTCTTCTTTTTGAACGACTTTTCACTTTCACCACAATCTCGGAGCCTGGAACAGGCTATGAGGAAGCTTGACTTATGGTCTGATCTCTTTGTTCACTGCAACAACTTTCCTTCTCAAAGTATTCAAAACGTTTTAGTGACAAAATGGAATTATACATGATATGTGTAATAGACCATTTTACAGTTGTGGATGGAAGCGAGGCTGAGGGTGACCTTGTTTTGATACAAACCTTCTTGCTTTATTATGTAAATCAAGTTATTCTTATGCTAACTAGTATTTTTCAAGAACAATTTCCATAACAAAGCAAAGAAGGTTTGTATCAAAACAAGGTCACCCTTAGCCTCGCTTCCATCCATAACTGTAAAATGGTCTATTCCATTTACATTGTAGTAACTTAGAAAAACTGCATGTAATAGATGTTCTGTGAAAACGTATATATGTTGAGACAAGTGACCACTGCATCTTCAGATTTTGCGTGACCCCTTATAAAGTGAAGTTCAATATTGCACTTGAAACATGCCGTGAGTGTTATTGATCGTACCAAATTTAATAATTAAAGCTTCTTTTACTGTTGCATGGCTGCTTGTGCTTTCAACTCTTTCAAACGGCTGGAGATCGGAATTCTTTCGCGGCTTGTTTGAGTTGACCCTAAACTAGAGCTTGAACCCAAATGCGAAGACTGCAATGTGTCAAAGCTACTAGTAGCCATCGACGAACTTGAGGAACTCAACTTCGTCGTGGAATGCGATGGCGTGTCGCTGGGATATCCTTTAGTTGCAGCAATTTTCTTCAAAATACTAACCAAGGAAGTCGGAGAAACGTTAAGCTTTATCAAATCCAACAGTATCTTGAATACATCGGGATCCAGGGTTACCCCGCTCAAGTTGCACAACTCGAGAAGTTCTTCGTCCAGAGTCTTAGAGTTTGTTCGTGTCACTGTCACTTTATAAATGTCCGGCGTTGATTTGGATCTTGACATGTTTATAAGGACGGGTGAACTATTACAGAACGAGTCTTTCGCCTCTTCTTGTTATATTAGCCCTCGATAAGCGGAAGTAGATAAAGAATTCAAGAATTCATCACTCCGAAGGAAGACGCCATTTTTGAAAACGACATTCGTGTCCAGTCTTCCTCCAAAAAAGATAATGCAAACACGTACAGTACTTGATGTACGCCTATTCGTCGTGACCAAAGAAGTGAGGCCAAAAGAAAAGGCGAAGCAGTTAAGGTGGCTCGACTGGATTTTTTAGGGGAAATACCGCCCAATTTTGAGCATTAAGCTACGTCGGCATGACTAAAGATATGGGAAGACGGTTACCACAACTGGATTATATAAAGATGAAAATTTCTGATAATCTGGGTTTTATTGCAATCGGAGTCGCCATGTTTTAAGATAGGAAGGTAGGGAGGTCAAACTGCACGACATTTCATTTCCAGCGATAAATAAATTAGTTACAAAGCCAAGAATCAAACCTGGCCATGTCTCTAAGCACTTCTACGTTTGAATGGGCCTTTAATGTATGTGATGAGCGGTGAAAGAAGTCGAGAAAAAAGTCTGGAAAAAATTTAAAGGCGAGAAAAAAAGTCGAGAAAGGAAAAATCGAGCACACAATTTTCATGGCACTTACTGGGCTCCGTAGTTTTCAGTTTTGCCATGGGTTCCATAAATACTTGGTCTACTGAACGATGAACAAAGTGCGCCTTCCGTATGCCAAAAGATTAAAATGAAACTTTGTCAATGTAAAGTAAACTCTTCTGACATCAAGACGACCTAATGACACAAAGGACCCTTCCGCTCACCTGAGAAGGAACTGCGTGAGCAGGCAGGTTAACCCCCAGGCAGCCGGGTTAACCCCTCTCTCCAAATTTACAATGAGACCTTATTTGGGAGAAGTCTAGCCTATCTGATCATAAGTTCTCACGCAGTGAATCAACGTCTCTGTAGACTCGTCAGAGAAAAGCTTTAGTCTTGACTGAACAAAGCTAACATGTTCCAACTTTTTTTGGGGGGGGGGGGAATCTTAAGAAAAAGACTTGTTGCCATCGTTATTTGTTTGTATATTCGTCGTTTTTTCAATCCCTCTTGAGCGCTTTATTGTTTAATGAAGAAGACGCCATAAGACAGGGTGGGGTTCGTATGTAAACACCTAACTACCGCACAACCTTACTACATAACTTCCAAAATGTCCCTAAAAATACCACACGAACAAAAAAATGTTACCAGACAATACTGATATCAAACCGCCTCCTGTTTTTCTATGCGATGTTGCTAAAATTAACAAAAACACAGCTCTACGGTGGTCCCTGGTGCTTTAACAGCTCCTGGCTCTGCTTTTGTTAAAGCCGTGTAAAAATCTTCGAGTCGTTTTATAAATTAGTACAGAGTCCTTTTCTAATTAGACACGTTTTCTCCGACTTTCCTCACATAACAGGATCATTGATTTACTTAAACAGATGTTTACTGGGGTTGACGCCCAACTACGGATCTTTTCTTAGAATCTTGGTAGTATTTATCCAAAAAAGGTAGCAAAAGAAAACTGAATGCTAATTAGTTGGTTGGTGTTAATTTCTTTTACATAAGCTATGAACATTTGCAATACAGATGATATTTCCGAATCCATTCCAGTTACAATATCTCGAAAAAGCGTAGCTATAGCGTAAACAATAGAATAGGCTTGCTCACGACGAGTCGGCTTATTTGAACGACCAGGGGGTGCGAAAACGGAGCGGTAACAGAGCATGACAGAGAGACAGAAGAACGAGCAAGTCGACTGTTTTCCCTCCTGACCGATGACTCAAGCAAAACGGACTTTTAGAAAGTGTACCGACCTGTACCCAAATGAAGTACACAAATATTTTTTTGTAATGATGACTTACGACTAAAATACGGATTTTTGCTTCCCTTCTCTCTCTACGTATATATTTGTCATGTTTTCCGCTGAGCTTTTTGTCCAATTTTTCGATCGTTAGAGCAGATTTTCAAAATAGAGCGGCTTATGGTGTATCGCACGTTTTGCATATTTTCTTCTCCAATTCTTTAACCAACGAGGCAGACGTAGATCGACATAATCTAACCTGGATACATGTGGTAAGTTTAGTTCATATGTGGTACAGGCTACAATTCCTCTGACTCAGATGGAATTGCAAAGCTTTACCTGTTTGGTATGCCCCTGGATACTTTCGACTTATGTTCCTATTAGTAAGGGTTTTTTTGGTTAGCTGGAACACCTCCTGCAGAGTGAGAGAAAGGGACTGCCCCTTCTCTTTTGTTCTCTCTTCCATCGACTTTCTTTTTATTTGACCTGCTTTGCCTCGGTGATTTATTTATAAGCAAAAAGGAAAAAAGAAAAAAGTTCTGGGCTTGACTAAGAGATGTCGACAAATCCCATTTATTAAAAAAAAAAAGTCTTTTAATAGGGTAAACTGAGTCATCAACGAACTGAAAAAACAAAACACTTCACCGAAAAGGAATTACGTAAAAGATCTGTTTAGTTATATCCGCCTTCCCCATACAGTAAAAAGATTTTAAAAAACACCTCTTCGCTGGCAAATTTAAACAGTAGCTGGTCAGTCAAATACGTAACAATCGAAATTGTCGGACGTTTTCTTTTGATAAAAATCAATAGCAATATTTGTGATTTGCGCCAATAGTTTGCAAGGGTGAAGCTATGCTAATTATAGCTTAGGTGTCACCACTAATTGTCCAATACAGGCCTTTTACTGTTTATTTTGCTTGTTAATTAAATGCAGGGAACGCAAGACAATTGTAGAACCATTGAAAGCAAAACACTCTGCTTGGCCTGCCTTAAATGCAAGCTGACTTTCTACTACGCAACATGGTATTGGAACAGCTCTCTTAAAAGACGAAACGCGAACCAAAACGAGCTTGTCTTTGGTCTTCTTGATAAATAGACGGAAACTTAATTGAGTTGTTTGACTGAGTTAGTAACATCTCTCTCGGTATTCTCTGATCTTGTTCCTGTTTTGGTTCTATCATCGGATCGACGTCAAGATCATTTCACTGTCCGAAATGTCCGCAAAAAGTACAATTTTGTACCTTCGTATCGGAGAGGGAAAGAACCTTCCAAGGAAAGATATGTGAGTCCAAACTTTTTTTTTACTCAACTGTATATTCAATGGTTAACTATTTAACTTTTAACTGAATCGTGCAACATGGAGCGCGATTATAGACATTATACGTAATGAACACTGAACGGACTCGATGTTTTTATTCACGAAAACACAATGTTGTTTCCGTTTTATTTATAGCTCTGGAAAGAGTGATCCGTATTGCATCGTGAAGGTAGACAACGACGTTGTAGCAAGGTAAGTGAACTTCGTCTGTGACTCAGTCTAAACTGGTTCACTTTCAGAAAACAACTACGATGAGCAAATTTACAGAACAGAAAAAATTAAACGAAAAGGAAAATCAAAGTATCTCAAAAAAGATGGAATTAATGACGCAGAGTGGATATTTTTATAACCTCGCACAGTTTTATCAATTTAACTTTTACAATATAGTATTTACCCCCTGATAATGAGTTAGCTTCCACTGGAATGCCGCAATGCGCAAATTAAACAAGAAAAGCTGAAAAATCAATAAACCGAACAATGAAAACAGTCTAAATCGCTGCGTCGACAATAGTTCTGTAAATTTCAGTCTGAAAGTACGTATTAAAAACTATATATTTAACCCTCTTTTGACGATCAATATAGGCGGAACCACGAGGCAACTGCTGTATTAAACAATCAGGTCAGGATGTGAAAAGGCACGAATAGAGGAGGATCGTTGTTGTAATTAAAAGATCACACATCGCAGCTTTGTTTCCCTCGCGTGTGATTTACACTAGCAACTGACAATGTTTAATCAGCTCAATTTAATTACAAGGGTACAAGATAAGCAGTCAAAACATCAGACAATCATTGCGACCGAGGGGACATTGTTGGCGCTATGTTACGTTAGTGGCGCTTGATACTTTTGTCAGTAGAAAAGTATAAAAATAATTTTGCCCTTAAGGGACAAAAGGTATTAACGTTTATTGATTAAGTGAACAATTACATGTATGAACTCAAATGCAAATGACTATCTAAAAAACTAAAATAAAAGGATATACCGGTATTTATAAAGTGATTTTAACTGGCTCTTCAGAGTTCACAAAACATCGATCGATCACGATGAAAGCTGAATTACAAAAAACCGACCGGATGTTTTAGCATCAAACAGTCGAAAACAAAGTTAAAACACTGACAGCAAAACACAGACGACTACACACAGAAACGGGGGTCAATAGTCTTAGAATATCCGGCTCCTTTAAAATTGTATTATTTTTTATTTTGAAGCATACCGTAAAATACTATCAGTACTAATTTGGCAGCGGAATGGAAAAAGCATGTTGTTTCCGTCGTCTTTGTTTTGCCGGCAGGCTGCCACGGTTTAGTTTGAAAACTCGCGAACATCATGTAGTTGAGTTATTAACGTGTTATTTTTATGTTTTTAAAGTAAAAAAACTAGTGCAAGACTAATCATTTCTTCTCCAAAAATATACAGTCTCTGTTCGTTAAAAGAAAAAATTAGGTGCTGACTCAAATTCAGATCATGACTCTGAGTACATTCGGATGGAAATATGTTTTGGTTTTGTGTCCCGTATATAGTATCTACATTATATGCATTGCGTAGCTGGGCCCAGTTGTTCAAAAACTGGGTAGCCTGAGATCATGCCCTCTCCCTATTATCCCTTTAAGTCGAGCCAAAGAAACAAAGAAGCAAAAAAAACGCCTGATTTCAGGTTAAAAACTGGGTAACATTAATCACCAGATAAATCACTATGAGTAGATAAGTATTGAGGAAACCAAACACGTTAGCCAGTAGTAGATAGGGATTTACCTGGTGGATAGCGTTTTCCTTCTTTTGAAAAACAGGCCGAGCCCAGTGCCGTAGCCAGACCAAACGGCCAACCGAGGCAGGCGGGAGTTGCTAGGGGGGTTCGGGGGCATGCCCCCCCCCCCCCCCCCCCCCCCCCCCC